TTGATTTTGTAACTGTTTTCATTTTGCAATTTATAGAATTTTTCTTTCATTTTAGTTATTTTTATAAAATAATGGCAGTTTTTAGATTTGTTCGTTACATTATTAATTATCTCATAGTCATTAGATATTATTTGAGATTTAAGGTATAAATTTAATTCATCAATTAACTTCTTACTTAAATATAATATATAACTTGAATATAATATATAACTTGAATATAACTTTTCATACGAAGATAAAATCCGAATTTTACCTAATTCAGGTCCAATTGGTTTGTCATTAATGGTAGTCATAGCTGAAGCATTTTCGCAAAAGTAGTCATTGATGTATCCAATTGATATCAAATTGATATCAAGTTAATATCAAAGTATAGAAAAAATAATCTAATTAAAATAACTAAAAACTATTTAGATGGCATTTTTTATTAATTTCAATTTAAATAAATGTTTTATGTTCATGTTGGTTGTTAGGTTTTATCCGTCAATTGTTGGTAACTAACTTAAAAAAAAAAAAAAAAAACATTGTTGGTAACTAACTAAAAAAAAAAAAAAAAAAAAAAAAAAAAAAACTCAACAGAGCATGCAATAATCCAGTTTGTGCATGAAATCTCAAAATCTTTTGAAAAATCACAGTATTTGTTAGGTATCTTCATTGACCTATCAAAAGCTTTCGACACGGTAGATCATCACATTCTGCTTCAAAAACTTGAATATTATGGAATTAATGGTATTGCCTTAAAATGGTTTAGAAGCTATTTAACAAAAAGAAAACAATTTGTAATTAGTAACGACGGCTATCAAAATAATTGTCTTGATATCGTCTGCGGTGTTCCTCAGGGTTTAATCCTCGGGCCCTTACTTTTCTTGATATATATAAATGATCTGAATAAAGCTTCTAACCTTATAAGCATTATGTACGCAGATGATACCAATCTATTCCTCTCAAAAAGTAATATATACGAACTCTTTACTACTATGAATAAAGAATTAAAACATATATCAAACTGGTTTAAATGTAATAAGCTAACTTTAAATATTAATAAAACCAAATGGACTCTATTCCATTCGCATGCAAAAAAGCGATTTTTACCAATAAATTTGCCGAAACTTTTTATTGACGAAATTGAAATAAAAAATGATTCCGTTACAAAATTCTTAGGTGTTTATCTCGATGAAAACATCTCCTGGAATCAACATATTAATTATATATCTACCAAAATTTCAAAAAACATTGGGATTCTATATAAAGCACGTAACTACCTAAATAAAAGTTGCTTAAAACAACTTTATTACTCTTTTATCCACAGTTACATAAATTATGCCAACACTGCTTGGGGGAGTACTGTAAAAAGTAAGTTAAAACTTCTTTATCGTCGTCAAAAGCATGCGATCCGCATAATTAACTATGCCGATCGTTTTACACACACAAAACCTCTTTTTACTGAAATGAGATTGTTAAATTTATTTGAACTCAATGTTTTTAAAGTTTTATGTTTTGTATATCTATGGAGAAATAATCAATCCCCTACTGTTTTTAATAATACTTTCAAACTCAAACCTAACAACAAATACGACATGAGAAACATAAACTTTTTAAAAGAACCATTTTGTCACACAAAATTTAATCAATTTTGCATTGCTTATCGTGGACCCCACCTATGGAATAATATAGTTTTGCAGAATTTTGATTTACCAACTTCCTTTTACCTTTTCAAGCTCAATCTAAAAAAATGTATTATTTCACTTGATAATATACTCAGATACTTCTAATATTTTGAAAATTGTTATACAACTTGAATTCAGTACGTTATTTTAATTTTTACTTTATTTTTTAGTATCTTATACTGGTATTTATTTTGCTTGTTTGTGCTTTATAAGGTTTTGATGACAAGATCTTGTGATCTTCTTTCAGATCCTAGCTTATGTTTCATTGTAAGCAGTTTATGTATGTGCGCATCTACGCATTTGTATGTGTATATATGCTTATATTTATATATGTATGTCCGTGTTTTTTCTTATTTTAATTTAAACTTAAATATATATTTAGATATTGTGTTTATAAAAACAAGAGACTTATTATTTGAATACTTTTTTAATTTAACAAATATTATAATTGTTATTGTTGTTGTTTTTTTATTATTTTTGTGGTTCTTATGTTTATTACTATAAATATTATTTTTATTATTATAACTATTATTCTTATATTATTACTAATTATATATATAAAGATCTATATTTTTGGTGTTTACTTGATATTAGTAGAATTACTATATTAGTAAATATCCATGAAATTATTTTTCAGAATATATATATATGATATTATGATAGTCATTTGCAATTGTGCATCTTGATCTTGAATATTTTTAAATTTGCACAAGCATTTTAGCTTTTTCTTTTCCTAAATGATTCCTTATTTTTTTGCATTTAAAATTTTTGCAGAATTCCAAATTTTGCAAATTAATCTAAGACTTCCAAATTTTGTAATTCGGAAGTCTTAGATTCTTTCATTTCTAAAATTCGCCCCCAACATGTAGCTGATGTTGTGCTTTTTACATTACCATTGAATAAATATGTTGGGAAACAGTTTTTTTTTAAATATGTTTATTTCGTCTTTTACAATAAATACAATTTTCATATATACACAACAAAATAAGTAATGGCTGGAGCAAAAAGAAGACATAATTCTGTTTTATCACCGAGCCCCATTTTTATGAAATCGTGATTTATAATTAGTATATTATATTGACGTAAATATACAAAGTAGTAATTTGTAATTGCTAAGATGCTTAAATTATCTGCAGTTGAAAAAAGAAAAAGAAAGCAGCTGCAGTTACAAAAAAACGGTTATGTACTTGTAATAAAAAAAAAAAACAGATAAATAAATACAGGAAAGTTAATTACGCGAATCTAAACGAGAAACTCTCCCAAATCGATTGGGTTAGTTTATTTAAAGACCGATATGCCGACGAATTTTATCAAATCTTCCGCGACAACTATATCAAATTATGTGACAAATTTATTCCGCGTGTCACCTCCAAACCGGCCAAACACAGGCAGCCTTGGCTAACCAGCGAACTTTTTTTACTAATTAAACGTAAGAAAAAACTTTGGTACATCAACCGCAATAGCAAATGGCGAATCATTCCTCTTGTCAAAGAGTATAACCAAACTCGAAACCTTGTCAAAAAAGCTTCCTGCATTGCAGTTAGAACATTTGAACACAAATTAGCTAGCGACAAACGGAACCTTAAGTGTCTATACGCTTATGTAAACAACAAACGCGCCGTCAGTAACCAGATAATTTCTATGTGCTCACCCGCTGGGGAAATAAGTAGCGACCACGCATCCATAGCCAATATACTTAACAGCCAGTTCCAGTCAGTTTTCACAATCGAACCATCAGATCAACAACTACTTTCCTTTGTTAAACGTACAACCGCTTTAATCTCCTCCGTCATCTTCAGCTATGATTCCGTTCACAAACACCTATCTGTTCTCAACGCCAATAAATCAACTGGAGGTGACGGTATCAGTCCATTTGTGCTTAAAGCATGCGCTGATGCGGCTGCTACCCCGCTTGCCATCATTTTTCAGAAATTGATGGATCAAGGTGTAGTCCCAAAAGCTCTCGGCAAACGTGATGCCACTGTTCAAAAAAGGCTCCAGACTTGACCCAGAAAACTATAGACCTATCTCCATCACCTCAGTACCATGCAAAATAATGGAAAAATTGTTAAAGATCATGCAGCACCTTGTAGCTCATAAACTTATTGCCGATTGCCAGCACGGCTTCGTCAATAAAAAAACCTGCGTCACGAATCTGCTTGAGGCCATGGACTTTCTGACCTACAACGTTTCTCGCAAGCTTCCAGTAGATGTTCTTTTTCTTGACTTCGCCAAAGCCTTCGATAAAGTCCCTCACAGAAGATTACTTCAAAAACTTGAATCCTACGGAATCGAAGGTAACGTTCTTAACTGGATAAAAGCTTTCCTTTCAAATAGATCACATCGTGTCACATTAGGTAATACGTTATCCACCTGGGTAAAGGTTACCAGTGGCGTTCCGCAAGGTTTATTGCTAGGTCCTACGCTGTTCATAATATTTATTAATGACTTACCCGAACACATCAGTAGCGAAAACTTATGTAAAATGTATGCAGACGATACTAAAATCCTGAGTGTCTTCAAAACCACTGAAGACAAAGCTCGTCTGCAATCCGATATAGATAGCGTTGTTACCTGGACTCGAATCTGGTTAATGGAACTCAACATCAAGATGCAAAGTCATGCATTTCAGTAAGTACAATGTTTCCCCACACATTTGTTTAATAAACGAGTACGACGCTAACGGCAGCGTCACTAGAACAGTAATCGAGTCTTCAACATCCGAAAAAGATCTAGGCGTTCAAATTTCCAACGACTTAAAATATGAGAGGCAAGCACAAATAGCCGCTGCCAAGGCTAATAAAGTCCTCGGGACATTGAAAAACACGTTTATAAGCAGAGATACCAAAACATGGAAAAAACTTTACACCACTTATATACGCCCAAACCTCGAGTTTGCAGTTACTGCCTGGTGCCCGCACCTTGAAAAAGACATAAATGTCATAGAACGTGTTCAGCATCGGGTTACCAAAGTACCGCACGAAACAAAGCGCTTCGATTACGAGACAAGATGCATCAAACTCGATCTCACCCGACGGGCATACGAACATTTAATCAACGTTTAAGTAATGTTCGTTCTAAATGTTTAGATTTAATTTAGTTTTGATTTAGAACGTAGGTCAATCGAATGTTCCATTTAAACCGAATCTAAATGGTTCGTTTTAAATGCTATTTAAACTCCATCTAAATCTTTCGTTTTAAACGTCGTCTAAATTTTATAAAATTACGTTTCTTTACGGCGCTTATTTAAAGAAGCATATAATTATATGCTTATTTAAATAAGCGCCGTAAAGAAAAGTCAAACGTTGAACGCGTAATTAAATACTCATAAACGAATCAAACATACAGATATTTTTTTTCATACATGCAAGTCTTAAACATATTTACACTAATTTTAATTATTATAATATGAATTATCGTATTTATCATTATCATGATCGCTTCCATGACAATAAGCATCATCTTTGCTTGAATCGTTCAAGCCAGCCTTTCCATCTTGAGAATTGGAAAAATAGGCGCCACCTTTCCCAGTGCCACCTAAACGAAACGGAGCCATTCTAAGATGAGAACCAATGCACGAATGTATTTCGGACAAAGAAGACGTAGAATATCGTTTCAATACACACTCTAAAAATAATTTAAAAAAATCAATAAACATCTTCATTCAATTCATATAAATCATTTATTCGACAATTTTATAAATTCGTAGTGTGTACTGAGTAGATTTGAATTATAACCTGAGTTTGAATTTAATTTCAATTACAAAAAATATAAAAATAATATTTTACCAACAACAAGTTGACACAGAGCAGAGTCTCTAAACGGAAGCTTTTTAAGAGAACCTTTACCATCCATACTCAAATGAGACATAACAAAATTTGTAAAAAGTCTTTTCAATAGATTCTTAGAAGTATCTTTAATGGATGACCCTCCGATTCGTGAAAGAAGGCGAAGCTACAAAGAAATTATTTATAAATGCTACTTTTCATTACACATGGGATTCTAATTAATAAAAAAAACAAAAGTCTTGCCACCTCAATGAAAGCAAAACATATTTTCTGACATCAAAACAAACATTATATAGACGTTAAAAACCTTTCTGGGAAAGAGGATAAAAACAATTAGCTATACACTTTTAAAATTGTTCGATTAGCAAGAACTCCACATTGCTCCTCTAATTTTCTGTATCCATTCAAGGTCCCAATAGCTCCAGCTATAACTTCTAGATGGACCTCAGCAACAGTCTCTAAACTTGGTACGGCCATCATTTCCACTGCTATTCGTAAATCTTTAATTTCGTTAGCCATATTTGATAACTGATAAAGAACTTTTCTCTGAAACTCTGTAAAATATATCATCATAAGTCGTAAAAGTTAGTAGGTCTAAATCTGAAGATTATTTAAAAGTGAAGGTGGTCTATATCAAAGATATAAATTTAGACATCTTAATTGATTGATCCATTTTCTTTTCTTTTGGTATAGTCACCATGCTTGATTTGAATGAAGGTATCTTAGAATAACAGCTTGAAAGACCAGGTGACTGTGGAATTGGTGATAGTTTAGCTACAATGTAAATCTCAGGGTATACTTTTGAGATATAACCATAACAATTATTATTAGTATTCAAAGATATAAAGTACAGCAACTTACTTGCATGATCACTTTTATATCCTTGTGGTACCACATCCACAACCTTTTTATATAGTGAAATATTTGATGGTAACATTTTGCCTAGTTTAGCAGGTGGCTGTGGAAATGTAGATAGTTTTACTATTTTAAAAATAAAATACAATTACAGCAAGTGTAAAAAATTATTTTTAATAACTGTTTTATTACAAAATACATACACATAACACTATTATTACTATTATTATGTAGGCTATTATTAGCTCCTGCTCTACTCTTCATAAAATTACTAATTAATGAACTTGTTTCTTCACGCAGCAGCCTTGTTCGTCAAGGTTTGTGTTTCAGAGTTATGAAGTTGAGAGAGGGTTGAAACTACAAGTAGCCTCTTCGATTGTAGTGGTCATCTCAGCCTTTAGGGAGATGAATTAACATAAAAAATATATATTCTTACTTTCTGTATTAATATCAACATCAACTTCTTCCTCGCCTGAAAAAAACAAAGTGTTTTACTAGAGCTGTATTAAAGTAGTGGTATTATACCCGAATAAATAACTTCAATTTTGATTAAAATAATGCAAAATTATAAATTGATAATAAGTTTTAAATATTATATTTTATATATTATTTGTCAGTTTTTGTATATTTCACATATGTTATTATTTTCAGTTTATATATTCTATTTACTATTTATATGAGTATTAACAAATTAAAGTAAAACCTTCAAAAAAAGTTGTACAAGCAGTACGCTTGCGCTTTTTTGAAACTTGCTGATTATCTTCTTCAGTTTCTGTAGTTAAATCATAATTATTACAATCCTCGTAGCAATCTGTAAAAGAAATAAGAAAACATTTAATTTATCCAAAGAAGTTATTGACAAATAAATTCTTTTAACAAGTAATGACTAAATTCTTTAAAATTTTGCGAATGTAAATTATGAAGCTGTTGTCAAAAAATAAACACAAAACCTGAAGTTTTATTTTTATTAGTTTAAAAAGCCGCCAATTTTCATTAGGTTCTACTCCTTCTTTCATTAATTTAAACGCATTCATTTTGGATGGGGGCCACATAACTACTTTTCCCCGCACCCATGCGGATGGCAAGACTCCTTCTTCCTCACAATTTTCTTCCAACCAAACAGCCCGGCGATATGACATTTTACTAAAATGTTAATACTCTTTTTATTGTAGGTACATCAACACATAACATAAACTTGTAACTAAACTTGTTTAAAAGTGTTTAATATAAGTTTAGTCGTTTACAAATACATAAATATTTTTTTACTAATACATATAAATAGTAGTTTAATTATTGTTATTATCACTTGTTTCAGCTAAACAAGACACCAATAGAAGTTATTATCAGAGGAGATGGTTATGAAAATTTCTATATTAATTACTCTTTAAAATTTTAAGATTAATATCTAAAATTATTTAGATTTACATTAAAAGTAAACAAAATCGAAACAAAAATTAAAAAAAAATTAAAAAGTTAAAACATAGGAAAATAAAATCACAACTTAATATACCTAAAATAAATTTACAATAACTTACACCAAATGAAAATATTAATAAAAAAAAAAGCTATAATAACTCTTTGATTAACTTCGAAGGCTAAAAAATATATAGCTTTTTTCACTCATAGTGCTAACCTAGTATACTATGAAATATCTTCCTTAAATTAAAAATCACATTAGGCATATTAGCATATTTAAACATATTAAACATATAGACATAAAAACATATTTAAAACTATATTAGAGGGAGATAAATATAAAAAGAAATGTTTTTGAATATTTTTCAGAAAAGATCTTGCTGGAGCATCACAAATAACTGAGTGTAAAATAACTGTATAATTTTTACCATTATGAGTGACACCATTACATTTTAAAAGTTTATATTCATCAATAAAATCCTTTAAGAATTCTTTAACACAGTTTGGCTTACTATCTCCTGGATATAAGGCAACAATTGTGGGTGAACTATGATTAACAGCAGAAAGAATCGGCCAAAATTGTCTGATGATCTAAACAATGATATACCGTCAACATTTATTTGCAGATTGAGTATATTACTGCAAGTGCCTTGATTTATTGAATTCTGTAAACATTTGGTAAGGCCAAAATAAATGTATTTTCCACCACATTTTTCCTGAACTTGTATAGCTTGAGGTGTTTGTAAAAGAGTACGGCTATCTTTAGGCAGCTCGCACCCATGTTTTCTCAACAAGGCTAGCAAACCATTACATGATAAACGTGTGAGTTTTGCATTAACAACCCATTGAGCTAGATCGTATTGAAAAGATCTATTGCCAACAACTTCTATATCACAATAATGTTCATCGCCTGAGCTGCTATTAGGTGGTACTATGTCGATGTCAATATCATTTATATCACAATTTTCTTCATCGGAACTACTGTAAGGTGGTACTATGTCAATGTCAAGTCTATAGGTATCACTATTAAATAAATTATCAGTTATATTATTTGCAATAGAAGATAAAGCGAACAAATTTTCTGCATTAGTTGAAGAATTTGATAACACAGGAGGTTCACATTCAAAGCAATTATTTGCATCTTTAACAACTTTTCTATATTTTCGCATATACTTTGCTTTTGCACTCATACGAATGATCTAAAAAATCAATTAAATAAAATATTAGGTAATGTTATTTTTTATTTACAAACTTATTTTTTTTTATATAATTTATATGAATATTCTTATAGATAAGATAATAAGAGTTTAAGATATTATAACTAAATAATAAACTTAATAACAACGTATAATTAGATTATTTGTAACAATAATAATAATAATTATTATTAATATTTTATTAATCACCCTCTGTAAAATAAATTTACAAGGTAAAAACACAAACTAAGAAATAGAGATAAAAAAAAGTATTATTTAGGAATGTTTTCTTCAAGTGTCTTTTCAAAAATTGTTCGCTGTTTTTTTACATTCCAACATTGAACCGCGTGTACCAAAATATGAAGAGTAGCTTCAGGAATTACTTCCTCTAAGACTTTAAGTTTTACTTTTTTTTTAACCAGCATTAAGGTGTTCATATTCAGTTTATGATTATCACATAATTCTTTTATATCATCTAAAAAAGAAAATTTAGCTGAACAGTAGTTAAGTTGGGAGTTACTAATTTCAAAGGTTACTTTATTGTTTAAAAGGCGGATAAATAGATTTTTTTTTTTTTTAATGTATATAACTTGACATCTCCTTAATTTTAAATAGAGAGTGTATATAGTTAATTATAAGTAGAGAGTGTATATAGTATAGAGAGTGTATATAGTACTTTAAATAGAGAGTGTATATACTTGGAGACATTAAAAATTGATTTAACTGCGTTCCTTCTAAATGGGTAGAGTCTTTTCATTGTTGCATCTTTATTTTCACAGATTTATTATTATTATTATTATGGAGATTATTATTATGAAGATTAAGATTAAATAATTACGCTAATAAAGTAAATAAAACAAATTAGAAACAAAAACAGTAGTTTAAAAAATGTAAAAGGTAAAAACTATACTTTTTTTTTAATGAGTTATAAAATTATTTTTTTATACACAAGTTAAAGATAAGGAAATCAAACATATTGACAACAGAGTTTGTCAAGGTTTGTGTTTCTGTGTTAAAGAGTTTCACAACTGCCCAAATTTTTTCTCAGAATAGGCTCTGTATATATATATATATATATATATATATATATATATATATATATATATATATATATATATATATATATATATATATATATATATATATATATATATATATATATATATATATATATATATATATATATATATATATATATATATGTATATATATATAAACATCAGTGGTAAGATTCAAATAATTTCACAACGGGTTCTGTGTGTCCAAGAAAAAGAAGTAGTAAAATTTTTTAAATACGAAAACTAGTATTGTTTCATACGTAGATAAAGCGTTACATAAAGAAATATTAAAATGAAAATATTTGTATGTATGTATGTATGCATATATATATATATATATATATATATATATATATATATATATATATATATATATATATATATATATATATATATATATATATATATGTATATATATATATATATATATATATATATATATATATATATATATATATATATATATATATATATATATCTGTGTGTGTAGTTATATCAGGATGTATATGCATGTATGTGTGTATGTGTGTAAATCACAGTGTAATTTACACTTTATTACATTTCTTTTACTTAAAAATTGAAAGACTTATAATGATTTGTTTTAACTTTTAACAAGTCACTTCAATTAAAAAAATGTCTTTTTCTTTTAAAAAAAAAAGGACGAATGTAAAATAAAATAAATACAATAAAAAAATATAAATATAGATTGAATCAAAATCAAAAAAGATTACAAAATCCTAATTCTAAAAAAAAATGCATTTATAGCCCTCATTCTCTCAAGTAGTTGAGATTCACACTTAATATTTATTTGCACTACATTGACAATGTCTCAAGTACTTGAGAGAATAAGGGCTATAAATGCATTTTTTTTAGAATTAGGATTGTGTAATCTTTTTTGATTTTGATTTAATCTATATTTATATTTTTATATTCATGTAGCCTACGAGTCAAGTACCTATTGTGAATAACATTCTATAAGAATTATAATAAGAAATTTATTATTTATCTGTATTTTACCTCTTTTGCAATCTTTTAAGTACTTCTTGGTTTGATACAAACTATTTCAAATCTTGTAAAACCACTTTTTTCTGTAATACAAACTGCTTCAATTCTATTCAATTCTATTTTATGCCATTAGAAAATCAAACTAAATAACGATTTTAAATATGGTAACAAGCATGTTTTAATATACAAACAAGCATGTCTAAAGGTCATTATCAAAAAGTTAATCCTCCTAAAACATCC